ACAGAGGAAAGAGCAGACACAAAGGAGTGATAGGCAGGAGATAAATGTGAGTAAGAAACAAAATYARCAATGGGGTGYYGGGTGGTGCAAGAGCGGATAGGCTTACGGAGAGCAATAGGGAGATCCAAATCAAAAGTATGTGAGTTGGAATTACCATGGATTGTAGAGACAGATTGATCCGAGTCCAACTGGTTGCTGTCATGAGGTTGAGAGCCCCTTTTTCTTCTGTTGTATGTGAGTATCTCTTTCTGTTGCCTACTGGAGCCTTCAGGAACATCTACAGCATCAAGAGAGGTAATCGACACAGTGGGAGCTTCACTGGGTTGACCCGGAATGCCACAACAAGAAGTAGAAGAAGAAGATGGAAGACCCGAGGCAGATAGGGGAACAAAAAAGAAGGGAGAATGAGAATCCTCTTCCATTCTACTAGTCTCCCCCTGAAGAGGATTCTAAGAAGACTGAAAATAAGGTTGAGACTCAAAGAAGACCACATCTCTGGTGACATACTTTCTCTTGGAGACAAGGTCATAGCACTTGTAACCCTTTTGTGTAGGAGAGTACCCCAAGAATATTCCCTTTGTAGTCTTAGAATCCAGCTTGCTCTTCTTTGGATCCTTCACATGTATGAAACATATACARCCAAAGACCCGAGGAGGAAGGGGAAAGTCTAGAAGAGTGAGACACAAAATAGATAAAGGGATTTTCATACCCAACACCTTAGATGGCATCCGATTTATCAGATATGAGGCAGTAAGTACAACTTGAGACTAGTATTGCTTGGGGACTTTGTGCTGGAATAGTAAGGCTCGATCTGTCTCCAATAGATGTCTATTCTTGCGCTCAGCAACCCCATTCTGCTGAGGGGTATTAGCACAGGATGATTGATGTAATATGCCAACATCTTCTATGAATAAGTTCAAGGACTTTTCAAAATATTCAGCAGCATTATCTGACCTGAATTGCTTAATTTTTTTATTAAACTGCGTTTCAATCATCTTGCAAAATGCCATAGTTATCCGTGGTACTTTATCCCATCCTTTTAACAGGTAGATCCATGTACATCGAGAGTAGTGGTCAATAAAACTGATAAAGTAACAGAAGCCATCAATAAAAACAATGGGTGAAGGGCCCCAGACATCATAATGAACCAAATCAAAAGGAGCACAAATTTTATTACTGGAAATTGGATAAACAGTTCTACATTGTTTTAACATTTGACATACTTCATAGATTAAACTCTGACTTGAAATGCCCTTAAACAATTCGGGAAACATTTCTAATGAAGTGAATGACACATGACCTAACCTAGCATGCCAAAGATACAACCTACCTATTGACTCCACACTCTTCGGACTACTAGCAGCAGATGCTTGTAAGGCTGAACCGATGTCTGCATCAAAATAATAGAGGCCTTCATACTCATGACCGCTCCCAATCGTTCTCCTCGTCAATCTGTTCTGGAAGACACAATGAGTAAGAAAAAAAGTTATACTACATTTCAAATTTTTGGTAAGTTTTGAAACAGACAAAAGATTTGAGGTAAGACTGAGAACATGTAGAACTGATTTAAGAGAGGTCCTTGCTTAGGTCAACCACCCCCTTTCCAGAGATGGTGGAGAAAGACCCGTCAGCAACTCTCATCTTATCCTGACCAGACAACAAATGATATGAAGAGAATATGGAGGACATATGTGTCATGTGGTCAGTTGCACCGGAATCAATAACCCAAAAAGTAGAGTCAATAGAGCTAGTGGCACTGAAGGCAAAGACTACCTGATCTGGCAAGAGAGGTGGAAGCAAAAGAATTATTCCTTAGATGGGCTAATGCCCAGCTAAGGACCTCTACCTCACTAGCAGTGAAGTCCAAAGCACCAGTTCCAAAGGAATCAACAACTTGTCCCATAGGAGAAGAAGACACTGTTGGTATATTCTGTGAGTTGTCACCATTGTTGCTGGTGACAAGATTCCCACTTGTCGCATGACCCTTCTGTTGTTTCTTGTCCTTTCTTAATGCAGCTGGCTTCAGGTGAGGATACAGAACCCAACACTTTTCTTTTACATGTCTCTCACCACCACAATGAGTGCACTTGAGGTGCTTTTTGTCTGGATGTCTATTTCCCTTAGTAGATACCAGAGCTGAATGTTCTCCAAATTGTTCAGTTGGTTGAGTCTGAGAGTCAACTTGCATCTCCTTTCTCCTGACTTCTTCATTCCTCACCAGATAATAAACATGGTGTAACTCGGGCAATTCATCTCTCCCTAGAATTTGTGACCTTATACCCTCATATACTGGGTCCAGACCAGCCAAGAACTTGAAGGCTCTGCTCTCTTCAATCYGCTTATCATGTCTCTCCTTGTCCCTGGCATTTTCCCAATCTAATATCAAGTGATGGTCAAGTTCTTCCCAAAGACCTTCCAGAGTTGCAAAGTATGTGGCAATTGTCATATCACCTTGCCTTAAGGCAACAATGTCTTGATTCAATCTGTAGATTCTAGCATTATTTTTCTTCTGTCCATAGGTCTTAGACACATTTTCCCAAATCGTGGCTGCTGTAGGAAAGTGATGAATAGTCCTGGCAACCCGAGGAGTCATAGAGGCAAGCAACCAGGACATAACTGTGGCATTCTCCTTGCGCCACACAGCATACTCTGTACTGCCAACCTCAGGTTCCTTCTTGCTCCCATCTAGGTAACCTATGAGATCACGGGAAGTAATAAACAACATTGCGGAAACTGACCACTCCCTGAAGTTGTATTCATCCAGTAGCACACTTGTAATCTGCAAGCTGTGCAAATTAGGGTTTTCCAAATTTGAAGACCTTGCCGTAGGTCTGTTATCCCTAGAAGAAACCTCTCCGGATACTAAAGACATCTTGACTACAGCCTCTGTGTAGATGACACTGATTAAGACTAGCCGAAGCAGTTCTGAAGCAGTTCTGAACCAGTTCTGAGGCATGTTCTGATTAGCCGAAGTGATCACAGCAGGTTCTGAAGCAGGTTTTGATTAGCCGAAGTGATCACAACAGGTTCTGACAGCTCTCAACACAGTTTCAGACTTGTCGAGACTGTCGCAGTTCTGAAGCAGTTCAGTTAGAGCAGCAAGTGAGGTGTTCTGGGCTGGTAACCGACCTGAAACTAAGGGCTCTCCACTATTGTGCTATGCAGACTCCACTTGAACTTCGAGTACTGCAACTGTAAAGAGAGTGCCCCTCCTTACGACCAATACTAGGACTGCTGAAATCAGTCCTCAACTAGGTCTGTCCTATACAAACCTCTCTTAGCAGTCGAATAGCTGCTAACTACTAGAAACAGTCTAGTAGGACATCAGCTTCTAGGTCTTACTTCCCTTGCACCCTACAACCAAGGGAAACCCTAGGGTTTCACAGCAGCAATCAAGATGAAAAAAAGAAGAAGAAAGACAACAGGAGAGAAGAGATGGCGTCGGCTGGAAGGTGCTCAATGCTCTGATACCATGAAGGCTGAAATGCTGTAGTCGAAGTAGCAGAAGAGAGGAGACCAAGAGATGCTGAGAATGTCGAACTGACTAGCCCAGTCGACAATACTATTATTTATATTAGAGTATAGTACAATGTTACAGGAAAAGACTAGAATGCCCCTAATTAGTGATGGGAAACCCAGACAACTTAAAACACTAAACAAGCTTAGGCTCATTAACACAGGCCTAGTACATAATAACTTAAACTCAAATACAGGCTAATAAGAACTCTTATCAGCCGAACCATCAATACATAAAAAACTTCAGCCTAACAGTTATGCATTTCTCTTTGATTGGGTAAGCTGCAAATGAAGCAGTGCAAAGTAACCAGCAAATCTGGTCAAGCCCAAGGTGGTGAATGATCAAGAAAGTGCACACAATCAGCATGGATTGATTCATCCTAAGCTTTTGAGGAGGGCCATCAGGCCTTCTCTTTTCTTTTATATGTGATATATGGTTCATCATCATCCAAGACTTATTCCAACTATATGGGGTCAGTTACATGAATCTTTTCTTGCCATTTCTTGTATATGTGATATAAAGTCCCTTATATACACTTTTTTTTGCATATAATCAAATACAATATACTTACCCTCTCTCAAAAAAGAAAAGAGAAGAGAAGATAAAAGAAAAATGAGAATCACAAGCTGCAAGGAGAGTGTTGAGATCAGAATCGGTACTATAGGGCAGATTGAAAGCTCCAAAGAGATATGGAAAGCCAAACAAATGCTAATTTTTTATTGGTAAGTATATGATTGCTATGAACAAAAGAACAAAATGACAAAAAATACGTTCATTTCTTCTTTTCTTAAAGGCCCAAGAGATTAACTGCTTATTAACACATATATACACCAATAAAAAGATAAGCATCCATAATATCTAACAACAAATAAACAATGAAAAAACGTTTCATTGGCTATTTACTTTTGCTTGAACAAAACTTACTGATTTGCAGAATGTTGCAGTTGTCTATATGCTACCTGCTTGTATAATTTTCTTGTCCGGAAAAACAATCCCAAAGCAACAAGAAAACCCAAGAGACTAACTGATGCCATAATTAAAAAAGATAACATGAAGCAGTGAACACCACTGCAAGTCTTCCCACTGTCTGATGCTTCTTTGTCATAAATATAACCAACAACCCTCACAGAGAGAATATATGATCCAAGTGGACTTGCAATGGAAATGGTGTTGAATATGGTACCCATGTGCCGTACACCAAATACTTCAGAGCTAATAGTGGGCATTAATGACCATTGTGAACCATAACAAATGCCCACCAAAATTGATCCTGCATACAAAGCCCCAGGCAGACCAGATGCAATAACTATATGACCTATGCTCATGGTTGCCAGAGTGATGACCATGAATGATGGCCTTGCCCAGCCTCTCGAGTGCAAGAAATAATCAGAAATGTACCCAGCTCCAAAACGACCAAGGAAGTTCCAGATGCTCCAAAGAGAGACCAAAGTACTTGTCTCCACACTAGAGTAACCAAGAGATCCTCCTATTTGGCTGATATTATTCACAGTGGCCAGTCCAGATCCCATACCACATGCCATGGCGAGGAATATCATCCAGAAGTTAACTGTACTAATGGCTTGCAGAAGATTCAAGTCTTCTCCCCATGGCCTTATCCTCTTTTCATGAGTGCAGGATTCTTGATTGGTATCACTAGGCATGTCATGATACTTCTCTGCTTCCAATGGATCTGATTTGTCCATTGCTCTGGTCCCCTCAGGGTCCATAGTCCATGATAACCTACCAACATCCCTCCGCTGAGCTCCAATTGCAATACTAAGAGGGGAGGTTACCAACAAGAGGAGTACTACAAGCACAAGTATGTACATCCACAATTTGAAAGTTACAATGTTTTCCAAGATTATTATGACCATGAGATAAGCAGCAATTATCAAAGCAACAAGTGAAAAACCATTCAAGTGCCTTTTGTCATCTCCTCCATTTGTAGGATGGATTGTTACAGAACACATTAGTAAGAGGGGAGTGATGGTTGGCAACAAAGCAAGCATGAGAAGAAAGGAGCTTGGCTTGCCCCTGAATATTGTCTGATATACCTGAATCAGTATTGCTCCACTAAGACCAAGAAACCCCTAAAACAAGGAAGGTAAATTTTAGATATAACACAAGGTCAGAATGATCAAGAACAAATCAAAGACATCTGTACGAAACTTCCTGACAGGGCTACCAATACTAATGCATAGAGACATATTAGAAGTGTCCAGGGTTATGCAACCCCTACTATGCTTTGGATTGGGTTGGGTCAAACTTGGGCAACCCGAGCCAAACCAAACCTGATATGTTATCATCATAGATTCTTGTACATTATGTAGGACATGTTTATGTGGGAGGGGGAGGAAAGAGGATGATGATGAAAGGTGGTTTATTGTAAACTATTACTATAATATGATGCTTATGTATCAGTTTCATATACAAACTCTATAATTACTTGAATCTGATAGTATATGTTTATGCAAATATTTGTAAATTTGGTAGGTCTGAACCAACCCAACCCAACCAACTGGATCTCACAATTGGGTTAGGTTATGGTTGAGAACCTCATGTTAAAAATTGGATTGAGTCAGGATTGATCACAACTCGAGCCAACCCAGCCCAACAATTGGCACTATATACAGAGGAAGTTATTTTAAAACCATTATTGCCTTTGGTTATTTGTTACTACATGGATTTCTTCACTACTAATAAAGCTTCTCTCTCACACAAAGTAAACGTGAGTGTGGAATTTGGGGCCTTTTTAACACCAGTGACCAGTCTATGAATCGGGCCCTTCTACTACCATGAATTATTGGGCAAGAAAACCAAAACAGGCAATATAAAAATGGTCCAGACTTTGAATTAAAGTAGGCAACCGCAGCTAACAATGACATACCGAGTCGATCTCATCCGAAACCGAAACCAATATTTTTTTTCCTCTTTTGTTGTTGGGAAGAGAGAGAGCAAGATACCTTCATGATGCCGACGATAGTGCCACCATAATCAGGAAAATTCTGGACGGCGGTTACGACGTTAGCGGTGTTGAAGAATGTCTGAGCATGAGCAGCAAGAAACATGAACAAGCACATGAGTAGGACCGGCGGTCGAGGAAGCACTCCGATGACCGAAAGCCAGATAAGAAAGTAGCCCGTGAAGCACTGGATAGCTCCGGCAGTGAGAACAACCCACGGCCCTCCAACCCGGCTAATCCAAGAAGAAGAAGAAGAAGAAGACGAACAATAACGAGGACGGACGGCGACGGAAGAGTAGAGGAGGCCGGAGAGGATACCAGCGTTGGCACCGATGTCTTTGAAGACGGCGATGGAATCGAGGGTAGACTGATCGTAACTTTGACTGGATTTGAGCACAGGTGAGTAAATACCGAAGGCGTAGGCTGAGCCACTGGTGCACTGAATCCATATGCTGGCCACCGTCGCGATCCATTTGCTGCTCTCCATCAATCTTCTCTTCCAATTTCCGACTTCTTTTCCATTCACACAAAAGCAAGGATCGTAACTCCATCAAATCAAACACTTCGAAGGATCAGTTTTGATTTCGAACAACAGAGAACATCCGCTGCTTCGACCGTGAAGTCAGAGTTAAAAAATAAGCTACTCCCATTGGAGTAGCCCTCGGCTAAAACCGTGAATCACGGCCATCAGTGAATTGATCGATGTGGCCCTACCTCGATGGCTGTGATTCACGGTTTAAGCTCAGCGGTAGCTGATTTCTAATCGACTTAAGCTATACCTCCTGAATCCTCAGGCGGGCCCAGCACGGGAGTTACGTATGATATCAGCTAAGAAGCAGATCGACGACAAGTGTCATCACACTCAGGAGAGAGAGTCCAAACGTGATTACGCGGCAAAACAAGGCGATTCGTTGTGCATGGCGACAAAAGCCAAAAGTGATTCCACGTAAAGTAAAAAATGTCTACCAGACGCGCGTCATTCTTATTGCATGTCATGTACTAATCTTCACTCGAGTAGCGTTGGGACCATGGAAAATAGACGTCAGATTTCCTAATCTTGAATCAGAGTGGGTCAACCCTATAGATAGCTGGATGGTATGCGTCGATGCCGATAATTTACAAAAATCCAATTGCCAGATTCATCCTTGTCTTTTAGTTTTTTTTGATCAAGCATTCCTTATCGACATCATCCTTGTCTTTTAGTTCTGCGAAGAAACAGACGGCGAGCCCTCCGTCGGTGTCTTACATGATATTTCGCAGTTGGAATTTTTGCGATTTTCTCTGTTCCTCTGCTACTACTCGATCTTGCTGTCGCATTCAGCGACCACCTTGAGAGAGGCAGCAAGAGAAAGATATAGCGAGCTTGAGTTGGAGGGGGAAGGAGACAGGAGAGTACCGGTTTCTGAGAGTGACGATGTTGAGAGAAGTAAGAGTGAAGTTGGACAAATGGGGTTACGAGGTGAATACATCTTCCGATGCCTGCATCGCCTCCATCAACTCATTCTATCACGAGGTCTGTTCGTCTGTCTTTTATATGCGTCCATCTCTATTTGTCTCTGTTTTGATCCAGTCTTCCTGAATTTGTTTCAACGAATGAAGGTTCTTAGTTATGGGAGACATCGGGCGGTAATACTCGAAGCACCAGTGCACGACAAGGACTGTGTTCTCGGCAACATCTTAGCTGCTCATTATCTCTCCTCCCATAACCCAGCACTTGCCCCCTTTCATCTTGCCGCTGCCAAGTCTCACCATGTAAGCTTCTCTCTCATCTCTTCTCCCCACCCCTCTCCCTCTTTCTCTCTCTCAGTTGGAGTTTAAATTTTCTCAGGAACACGCCACCCCATACGAGAAAGAAGTTTTTGAGGTTATTTCCTACATGGTGACCGAGGATAGGGACGACGATGTTGTTGTTGATTTACACTCAAAAGTGGGTATACTCTAATGGTGCTCTTTATGCCATTCTTTATCTTAAAGGTTATCCTTTTTAGCAAATAAATCTTCTTGGTAAATAACTTCGGTGTTTATCGGTGATGATGCACAATCTGGTCGGTCTTAGCTGTCAATGATCTTGCCTCTGAACTGAGTAACAGGGACCTGAAATGGAAGGAGAAGAGAAGCTCCAAGGAGAACCCGGCGTAAGGGTTCCGAAGCTCAAGTTAGAATCCTTCAAAGGCAAGATAAACCAGATAATGCAAAGTTAGCATACCTCGTTCCTGGGGTAGGAGCCTTTTATAACCACCTCGCGCACTCACTTCCAGGCTCCGTCAGATCGGGCATGATTACTTCTGAACTTCTGCCAGTTCGGATGTCATTTCCTCTGGCCGGACAGAACCGCCACTGCTCCTTTTGTCGGAACCGTCTCTGCGGCTAGTGACGACGGTTGCAGGTGGCGGTAGCAGGAAGCCGTTTGAAGTGCGGCTGTCAGGCGTCAGATCCCAAATCAGTCAGGTGCG